TTACATTTTTGCACTAAAAACTAATCGTTCTGTAGATCAGATTCACTGATATGCAAATCAGATAAACCCTTTTGCAAATTGAATTTGCTAAGCAACTTTTACAAAGTAAATTTTACATCGTTACTAATATAAAAAAAAACGAAAATTTAAAAAAATCATATTCTTATATTTCTATTTTGTTTGATTTCTAATACAAAAATATACAAATATGTGATAAAAAATATACAAATGGTTAAATTATTTTTAAATATACAGGGTGTCTCAGCTGAAGGAGGTCGCCTACAGAGAATAATTATAAACTCATGGTAACTTCTACGTTTCTACTAATATGTAAACGAAAACTAAAAAAATTATATTTCTATATTTTCTAATCGTTTCTAATATAGAATTATATCAAATACAATGTTTTGTCAATATTTTCGTTTAAACATCGCTACATATGTGAAAATTACTTTGAGTCTACAACTATGCACACCGCTATATCAGTAACAATGTAAAAGTTTCTTTGAGTCTGTAATTATGCACACCGCTGCATATGACCTACCAAAGGATTAATTTGAAGTGCAACGAGGCGAATATGATCTACAAAAGAGGGATTAATTCTGTGTGTACAAAAGCGAGTATGATTTAATAAAAGATCAATTTTCTACTGCGAAACCTGTATTCCCTGAACGTTTCGCTCCTGATACGCCGGGAACCGAGAGCACTTGTTCACCTAATAAAACCGAGAGTCTTCGAAAAAGCCGAATCGATCAGTTTGTCGGATAGACGCGACCAAACAGTTTGGCTTGGCCGCGGCTCAATACGTTCCCTTTGTGCGGGCCAGTGGGATCGGAAAGTACCGTCGTGGGAGTCGTCGCTTTTCGAAACAGCGGCTCGCCTATTCGACGGTTTGCATAATAGCATCGGCGACATTAGCATATACCGTCGCGGCGTTGACGGCTTTCAACAGGAAACGATGCGGGGGCCATTGAACGGTGAGCGACGCACTCGCGGCGCACAAAAGCTCGAGAGCCCGCGCCGCTAAACGCGATAGGGTGCGAAATCCAGCGTGGGCTCTCGCCGTGAAAAATAGAGGCAAGCACGGTCCCCGCCTCCGCTGAGGCGCGAGGCTTCTTGTCGCCAGACAACCGAGGCTTTTATACCGGGATTCCCATAGGTAACCGGCTAACACCTCCGCTCGAGCTTTCCCGGCTGAATCGACAAACCATGAGACGCCCGAGATGTTTCCTTACCGTCGAAAGACTCTTGTCAGGGAGGCCACTCGTGTATGCGATTTTGGAACGGTGTTACATAATATACAGGGTGTTCCATTTAAGTTGATGTTGTAAAAAAATCTCGCGTTGTAAAACAACTTGTAAAAAAACGCACCGACACATGTCCTTTAGCATTTCGAGTGGAAAGTCAAACGGTAGTACTAGTTTTGTAATACGTCAGCGTTTTCAAGATTATTTTAAGGTCATCTTGCATTTTTGTTGATAAATCTATATCTTTTATTTCGGAATTATGTTCTATGTAAAAAAATGCATAACTTTTGTTTGAAACGCTTTTTTGTAAGTTCAATATGTTTCAAGATATTTAGCTGATTTTTCATGCTTATGTCAAGAATAATTTTTTGTTTCTATAGAAATGACAACCTATTTGAAGGTATTTTATGTCATTTAAGAACGTCATATTACAATATTTGTTTTGAAATATTTTTTTGTAAAATGATGCTCTTAAATTAAACAAAATACCATTCGGAAGGAAGCAACGTTGTCATTTTAATCAAAAGTAACGAACTTACAGAAAAGTGTTTCGAACAAAATTTGTGCATTTTTTTTACATAGAATATGATTCCGAAATAAAGAATATAGGGTTATGAAAAAAGCAAGATGACCTTGAAATAATCTTGAAAACTTTGAAAAACTAATAGTGCATTTTTGCTAAGGAAAAAGTTACTTCAAATGGCCTCAGGAATCCGTCATTTCCAGATTGCGAGACATTTTTGGGAAAAGAAGTTATAAAATATACATTGTACGAAAAAATGTTTCCAAATAGAAGTTGCATGGTTAACAGCTAGACATGCAGTACTATAATCGGTTTTATGTTGTTTTGCTTTTTTACCAACATACGAAGGTCACCTTCAATTTTTTAAATGGAATGTCGTACATTTCTTCTCGAGTTTGGATAAAGCGTTGAATTCTGCGAAAAAAAGTATTACACCAAACGGAATCCAAAATAACTAGCTGTTGAGATATTAATCAAATCATTACCGATACAGACTAATCTCTTATAAACAAAGTCGTCCTGCTACGTTGTGCTAGCAGTCACGTTGGTCAACAGTCTTGTCTAATACAACACAATTTATTTTCGCTAATTTTCATTTTCAATCCTATTTGATGCGATACTTATTTATATAGAATTTAATGCTATATCCGAATTCAGTTAGAAATTTAAATCATTGCATTTTTTAAAATATTGAAGGCGATCCTCGTATCTTGATAAAAAAGTAAAATAACGTAAAACTGATTACAGTACTACATGTCTCGCTGTAAACCGTGCAATTTCTATCCGAAACATTTTTTCCTGCAACGAATGTTTTATGAGTTATTTGTCGCGAGACCCTGCATAATAAATTATACGAAATAGTTTAGTACGAAATATTTCACGTT